AAATCCTAAGTTGTTTTATTTCATTGGACAAAGTGGTGCCCAGCTTGGTATGAAGCAATGAATTATTCTTGGAATTATACAAACTCAGGTTCTAGCTGTAAAGTTGTATTTTGGATTCTCAAATGCATGGTCTTTTTTAAAAACAGAAAGCTTCCCTCCAGTTTCTTAACTGATTGTTGGCCTTACTGATTTATTGGGTCTGAAAACGCCTATAATCCAATGCTGTTGTCTCTGAAGCCTGGAGTTAAGCTACTATTATTTTTTTAGTTGTCTTTATCCTTCAAGATACAACATGTTTTGGGTAAGCAATTGTGCTGCTGTTCAGTGCTGCTCTATGTGAATGTCTGACCTGGGATACAGTTAGTGCAAGCTGCTACTGTAGTGTAATAACTCTTGAACTTGCACCCGTGCTTGATTTTCATTTTGAATTGAAGTGGACAATGGAAGGAGAAACCAATGGATACATCACGAATTCTTCAGTGTCGTGGAAATGGTGCCCAGGTTGAGGGACACAAAACTCACAGGTAGTCCAAGAGTCAAAAAAAAAAAAAAAACCTAAGGATTGCATCTTATTTTATTTGTAATGCATGCAAACATTTTGCCCAGTTTAGTCTGTACATCGAAATGGCAAACTGATTGAAGAAAGAAACGCTTTAGGTTTCATACGTGAAAATACTGCCAACTCTGTAAGCTGTACATACATTCCACTGTCTTATGGGGAGATGAGAAGCTGAAGCATAATATTTAAGAAGTTGTTGATGCAAAATATTCCAACTGACAAGACCTTAAATACCTTGGCCATCGAGTTCTATAATGGAGAAACATGTGCAGCATTAGGCAATTGTATGTGATGAAGGGTAAGTGTTGGGCAGAGTTGATTCTCAATTCCCGAAGACCTTGTAGATACTGCTAAGACTAGAGCTACTCTGTAGGATTAAAGATATTGAGGTGAATAAGATGGATTGCTCCCATTTGGATTCAAAGCAGAAAGCAGCAGGAATCTAGAACTTAATAGGTCCAAGAAGGATTTGTTGGTTCTCCAGTTAAAACTATTTGGAATTCACGGGAAATCATCTGGACATCTTGTTGAGTTTGACTCCTCTACTGGTTAGGGAGGACTATATATCGCATGCAGCTAGTTTCTCAAAGGTCAGTTAGCTGGCCACTGAACAATATTTTTTGTTTCTGACTTACCCGATGCAGACATCTGCCTAGTTTAGAAACTCTCAAAATATACTAAGAAAATGGGCAGGTGATCAACATTAATTTTAGCCGTTTTATAGCTCAAAATCCATTTTAATGACTCTCCCCAGGCTCTCACAATTCACTTTCTTATACAACTATTTAGAGAGTTTATCTTTGTATCTGGAGAGCGCATAGCAGACTATATCAGCTGTCACAGGATTAAGGCACAGGAGAAGATGAAGGGCTTACAAAACCTTGTTGTAACAGAAGCCCTATTTTAATTATTTCTGGTTTGATTTTTTCATTCCAGAAGACCAGCCTGTGTATTTTCCTTCCGAACCAGACAACTAGAAGATTGCTTAAAAAAAAAAAAACCAATTCAGAATTGTATTCTTAATAAGCATAGTATATTAATTCCTCATGTGCTTAGGTGCAATCGGTTGAGCAAACCTCCCATTAAGACATGCCAACACAAGTACCAAGAAGGCACAGCAGCTGTGCTTGGTGAAGCAGCTCTGGTAAGGAAGCCAGAGATTCCCCCCACCAACGTCTTCAAGAGGGGTGATTGACAGCAAAGGACATATCAGATGAGCTAGTGTAGAAGGTTCTGCCGCTCTAGAAATGTGCCTTCCAATCTTTGAAAGTGGAGGGGGGGGAGGGTTGGGTTTAGTACAGAGTTTTATTTTGTCTACTAAAGAATTTATATTGGAATGCTAGCGAGAGATGTCTTGATAATATATATGTATGTATATATATATTTGTGAAGTGGGAGGGAGGGCAGGGGAGAGAAAGCTGCAGCACTATTTGTTATTTTTTATATCTGTATTTTTTATCCTCTATACAAATGACCACCTCTTTTCCTCTTTATTCAAAATTAACATACCAGGAAAAGAAATTGGAGTGCCTTGTATTGGTTTTTGGAAACGGGTCGTGTGATGTGGTAGGAAATGAAGAGAATACAACCGAGAGAATTAAGAGTGTTAAGTTTCGGTAGGTAGAGTTCCTTCAGGAATTTTTGATCTGTAATTCCAGTCATTTCAGGCGAGGAAAGCATTTCTGCTTGTTTTAGAGGAGACATTATTGTGGCCTCACTTTTTATTTATTAAATTTATATGTCACCCACTTCACAGTCCAGCACTTGTGTTATACCCTCATGCGATTGATGGGTAGTGTTTCTAGAGTTGTTTTACATTTATTTGAAAAGAAAAATGTTCCCCCAGTGGTAGGAACCCTCAGTGCTGCTCCCCGTTTTTCAGTTTTGTGTAGTCAATTTTTCAGCTATAATTTTTCATTAAAAAAGGTTCACCCGAAAGGTTCCATTTTAAATGCATGTATTTTACACGCTACTGCTATTGATTTCATAGTGAGTGTATTTATAAGCCACATAGATGAATGTATTCAGGTAGGAATGGATTTCAAAATATATTCAGGTAGGAATGAATTTCAAAATAACATTTTCCTACATCATCTGCATCAGAAAAGGCTAATGCTGCTTAAAGATAATGTATTAATTTTATCATTGTGACGTTATCGTGAACTTCCAAACCCTGACATTTGAATGATCTTGCTGTACCTTTATTTTTAATCAGGTCATGGTGTTAATGACACTATCCCTCTCTAATGTTAAAAGTACTCAAAGCAGCTTTGTGGGAGCACAGGGTTAGTTTTTTAAAAGCTTTCTAGTCACTACCATTAACTATTTTATTAAAATGGCAATGATAGAAAAGTATTTTCCCCCATCATCTAGGGCAGGGGTAGGCAACTTTGGCTCTTTTATGACTCGTGGACTTCAATTCCCAGAATTCCTGAGCCAGCATGGATCAGCTTGGAAACCTCTCCCTTTCCCCTCAGCATGGCTGGCTCAGGAATTCTGGGAGTTGAAGTCCATGAGTCATAAAAGAGCCAAGGTTGCCTATCCCTGGTCTAGTGGTTAAAGCACCAGGCTAGAAACCAGGAGACTGTGAGATCTAGTCCCACTTAGGCATGAAAGCCGGCTGGGTGACCTTGGCCATTCACTCGCTCTTGGCCCAACTCACTTCACAGAGTGGTGGTTGTTGTTGTGGGGAAAATAGCAGGAGGAAGGTGTGTTGGATATGTTCGCTGCCTTGAGTTATTTATAATAATAAAGGAGGAAAATATATACATACGTACTGCATTGTGGGGTACTCAAAAACAATTTCATTTGGGGGGGGGGGTTTGAGGCTACTTTAATGTTTAAAAATTACTTAGTTAGAAAATTATTTTAAGTTAAAAAATACACTTTAAAAAAACATGGGTGAGAAACAGAAAGCAGCAAAATACTATTAATGAAACCAGTAACCTTTTCAGGTGGAAATGCCGACTTTATTAAGTGTATAAAGATTCTGGCTACAAAAAGTGCAGCAGAAGCACCCAGAGCTGAAGGGAAGAGAAATCTGCTCAAGCCAGGCCTGCCGTGTAGAAGAACAAACTTCAGCGGGGTTTCTCAACCTTGGGAACGTTCAGATGGGTGGACTTCAACTCCCAGAACTCCCCATGCTGGCTGGAGAATTCTGTGAGTTGAAGTCCTCATGTCTCAAAGTTCCCGAAGTTGAGAAAAAAAACAACACTAAACTACACAACAGGACAGAGAGAGCAACGGCTGCACTTTCCGTGGCTTGGTGCAGCAATTGAGTCAACAGCAGCACATTTACAAGCTTGTGATGCCCCCCTGCACACCAGCAACCCTGTATCCTTGTGTTCTGCAGCCGGATGCCGGATCACTTCAAGCAGCAGATGGGGAGGAAATCACCATCGGCAAGCATGGATTACAATCTTCTCATAATTGCAAGAGGCAGGGAGGATTGTTGGCAAGGCATGAACACAGAAGGAAGAAGCCTAACTGTTGCTCCCGCTCTCCCAACACATACAAAGCAGTATTGTCACAACAAAGCCAGGTCATTCACACCACCAGAGGGAGTCAACCCAAAGATTTTTTTTTTTTTTTTTTAGGACTCTCTCCTCTTCAATCCCCAATTCCCAGATTATCGTTTTAGCAGCAAGATTGCCCATGAAAATACAGGGGCGGAGAAGTTAAGAGAAGGTAGGACAGCCCGTGCCCTTTCTCCCGTGGCTCAAAGCAGCTGCTACTCTTTGGCTTCTCCTGTCATGGTTCGACCACATCTACATAACACAACATCCAGACAGGTTGTCACCCTTCCCATAGCCTCTGTTATTTCTGCAATGGGGTATGGCTGTGACAGAGCAAATACAACGCAGACAAGGGAGTGGCTGAAAAGAAGGGCAGGCCTACATACCTAAGGACCCAGTCCTCTTTTAACTTCAGCAGGGAAGAACGAAGGGTGAAGGATGAACACTTTACAATCAAGTTACAGTACAGATTTCACATTCCAGCCTCTTCTCCATCAATACAGAGATATACAGCAGCATTGCACCCAGACCATACCCTACCCTGGCACGACATACAGAAGAAATATTAGGGAGCTCTCAGAAGCTCAGAGTAATTTACGAGGGAGATGGCAGAAAACTCTCTGCCTCCAATTTTGCCAATGACATCCCACCCACCCACCCTCCCTCCCCGAGATTAGCTGAGTAGGACAGCAGAGAATTCATTACAATTCTAGTTAGACTTCCATCTGTAAACTATGATTTGGGGGGGGGAAGTGCTGGATCTTGGCTTATCAAACATCAGTTAGGAAGTAGAGTCCAAGAAAGAGTCTTCCCTTGGCTTTCCATCATCCTCCCAAAGCTCCTTGAAAAAAGAAAGCTGGATCCTGGGAGTTTCTAAACGCCAGCTTAGGTTTTAACTAAGGAGCCCACAATTTTATTTTTTTTTAAAAAAAAATGACATAGGGTTTTTCTGCACTGATGGGCTCAGGAGAAAAATACATCGGATCAGACTTTTGAAACTGGCTCTCACTGGAGAATGAGGCGTCCAGTGTACCAGATATAATAATGCAAATGGTTCCTATCACTGGGCAAGAGGAGCTGATCTGTTCCATCTGCAATTCAATAATCCCCTTAGAAAAACAGGATCGTGGACACCCCAGAGTTGAATAAGGCTAGGCCATATTCCGGTCTCTTTTGTCAACCATGTCAAACTCGAAAGCTGTCCTGCCCTCAGAAACAGTAATTAATGGAACATTATGAGCAGAAAAGAGATAGGGACTGTGTTCCAGGAACGAATCCCTGACCCGCCTGGAAATAAGAGCCTCAAGAGTTTTCCAGTATTAAAACAGTTGCAATCAAGCAGACAGGAAAGAGACAAGAAGTGTGGCTCAGATGTTATTAGATAGACAAATATCTCTATATAACCCCACGTCAAGAAGATCACCCCTGGAAGCAATGGCCAAAGTTGCAAAAGAGAATGGCCGGGGCTATCCGGCAGCCTTCGGAGTGGCAGAAGAGATGTATTCTCCAGCCCTTGATCTTTAGCCGCTGAGTGGATGTAGATCCACCTTGACCTTCTCCCCGCTGCTCAGCATCCCAATGGTGGGGTAAAAGCCCCCTGATGGCACCACCGCATCTTTCTTGCCAATAATCTTTCCGTTGCGGGTGAAGAACACCTGGTAGAGATGGGGGGGGGGAACAAAACAAAACAACAGTTTTGATCCTGAGGGAATCTGTATTGGCTGGGTCAGATGTTGGATAAATTTAAAATCTGTCATATGAAAATGACTAAGAACTGTGAGTAAGACTCTTGGGATTAGATCTTAATTGACAGAAAGTTTGTTTTTCAAAAACAAAACAAAACAATAATACTGTTTTGAATACACGATATCAAAGCTGTCCAAAAGGAGCCCTTAATTCAGAGTATAGCCAATTCCAGTGTCCCCAAAGTTCCAGCCAAATCTTTCCCATTCTGGTCACTGATGGGACACAACGTATGCCACTAAGCGGGGAAAGAGCATGGACGGACTGCCCCCACTCACATCTCGCCTGCCGTCTGAAATAGTTATGGCTGCTTCCAAGAAGACCGTTGCCTGTCCTCGAAAAGCTATAAAGCTGCATCCAGGCAAAGCAGCTTCGGAGGAGAATCCCTTCCAGTCGGATTGCAGGCTAACCTCACAAGAAGCAGCCGGTATCTATCAAAGGCTGCGGATGTCACATTGCAGGACCAGATCGAAAGGGTTCAAATTCTGAACTTTCACAACTAGGCCCTATGACGCATCCTGGACATGGACATTAAAAGCACAGAGAGGAGGACGCCAATGGGCGCAGCACGAAGGATCAAGAGAACCATATGCTGAAAAGAAAGTTCATCTGTGGATGCCAGTACATAAAAACAGTTTCTCATGACTCATGCTTGATGAAGTCTCACAAGCAGAACTCTGAAAAAAGGAGCTTAAAATTCGTCAACTGCCTTCTGTGACCTTAAATAGTGTTCTGCATTTTAAGGCAATCCATTAAGCGGAGTTTATGTTTGTCAGCAACTGTAAGTCAAGAGAAAACATGTCCTAGCAGTAAAATACTGCTTTTTCTTTTCTTTTCTTTTCTTTTTAATATCCCACATCAGGTACTGCTACATATTTATGGTTGTAGCCCTAAGGGCTAGGAGGAAAAATGAAACACACAAAATACTCTTGAGAAGCTGCGTTCCAAGAGTAATAACAATTCCTGCATTTGAAATTAAGTCCCAGTGGTAAACGTGAGTCCCAATTGTGATCAAGCAGTATCTGCTAATACTTTTTAATCTTGCTCGTAGGATCCCTCGCCTAAGAGAAGACCAGCAGCCCAAATGACTTGCCCTCTTCAGCCACAATTATTCCAACCAAGCAGACGGTTTTAGCTAGGAGAAGCACTGCAGCCCTGATGCTCTAGCTTGGGCAGAAGCCCCCAAGCCTTGTTCTATACTTGTGTATTAACCAGTTCTTCTGACACTTACCACTACTTTCTTGCCCTCGTGTTCCAGTTCCACGTCTTCCCCATCTTCTTCTTCATCCTCATCCTCATCTGCCTCCTGATGCAGATATAAGACGTTCCTCACTCCCCGTGGTTTGGCTCGGATAGCCACCGTATCACAGCTGTCATCACTGTCACCTACAAGGGCACCCAAAATCCCATGAGACTCTTGCAGATTTCAGATTCCCACCGTAGAAATGAAACTATGATTCATTGACCTGTTATTTCTGTTTAGCATCTACGGGCCTTCGCTTTCCCAGCGTCGTAACAGCTGTGCAGAATTTTTGTTACTTCTGCCCTCCCCCATCCCCGTTTTATTTCCTTTGACTTTCCTGCCCAAGCACTCTGCTTCAGTATGAAGCACGCAAGACAGCATGGCGGCAGCCATCTTTCCTGCATCAGGGGAGGGTCCCTCTCAAGTTGGTTTTTGTCAGTCTCCGGTATAAGCCAGTCAACAGTCTGGACTGTGGGGGCAGTCTTGTAAGCAAGGTACAATCAAACCGCAGGGAAAATATCAGCAGCTTCAGGGTTCCAGAAATAAGAAAACTGCATCCCTAGAGTTTAGGGGCAGCCTGAAGTTTTACAAAGCTGCAGTCCTATTGGGACCACAAATCAATTTGATTCAGGTTTGTAAAATATCTAGTTGTCTTGCCATTTGTGATGGCTAATAATTGCCTGCATATTTTTTTTTTATTAAAATTTATAGACTGCCCCACTCCCGCAGGACTCCGGGCGGCTAACAATAAAAACACAACATAACTTAACAAAACAAACAATACAATGACATTCATCCAGGGGTCAGATTTTATAAACCCCAGGCCTGCCGGAAAAGCCAGGTCTTAAGCAGCTTGCGGAAAACCAACAGGGTGGGAGCGGTTCTAATCTCTTTAAGAGCTAGCAATAGTGGAAATAGTAGTATTTTCGTTCTGCACCAACCTTTCCAAAGAGCTTAGGCCGGTGTTTCTCAACCTTGACAATTTTAAGGCATGTGGACTTCAACTCCCAGAATTCCACAGCCAGCATTGCTGGCTGTGGAATTCTGGGAGTTGAAGTCCACATGCCTTAAAATTGTCAAGGTTGAGAAACACTGGCTTAGGCCAACGTACATTACAATTTAAATACCTTAAAAGAGAACAGATTCCAATCAACATGAAACTCAGAGGCGTCTAAATAACTAAATATTACTAAACGCCAGGCTGAAAGGAAGGCTTGCTTGATCATGTCTAAAGAAGGCAATTTCCCCTGGTATTTACAGGAGGGGCTTTCACAACCTCTCTAGAGGTAAGGACTGAGAAAAGCCAGTTCCAAATCACCACCAAAAGACTGAATGGCACTCAAAGGTGGACCTGCTTTTCCTCAAATTGTACTCACTGCTTTCCAATTTGTCTAAGATATCAAAAGTAACTTCTTCACGACTGTACCTGGATGAGAAGATTTTCTCTACAGTCCAACTGACAAACTTATCTGAGGGTGTCCCACCTGATACAATTACACAGGACAGCCAATCCCAAGCCACCAGTCCATCTGCGCACCCCTTTTCATAATCATGGAGTCAGCAATACCTTCTTCCAATGAAACAGATTCAGCAGAGAGGCAGCAAGTTGCTAACCTCATTGTAACATGGTCTCAGAAAATTGCCGTCTAATTCTATTCTACACCTGCAACCTGTCACTCTAGAATAGTGGTTCTCAACCTTTCTAATGCCATGACCCCATAATACAGGTCCCCATGTTGTGGTGACCCCCAAGTGGGTGTGGCCACCAATAAGAGGGAGTAGGACAGCTAGGGAAAAGGGAAAAAAATGCGGACAGCGTGGCTTGGCGACCCCCGTGAAATGGTCATTCGACCCCAAATGGGGTCCCGACCCACAGGCTGAGAACCACTGCTCTAGAAACACCTGCTATATCAGTGATGGCGAGCCTTTTAGAGACCGAGTGCCCAAACTGCAACCCAAAACTCACATATTTATTGCAAAGTGCCAGGACCGCATCAGCATTGTGGTGTTCTCAGGTGGAGCGGGGTGTGTGCCCACTGGGTGGGCATGTTCCAACATAGCTGTGGTGGTCACAGCAGACTGGGTGAGTGTGGCTAGGGTGGGTGGACCAGGACCAGGGTGGCAGGGACCAGTCTCTCGCCATCTCCGGGGCATCCCCGGGGGGGGGGGGCAATGCCACTTGCTCGCTCACTTCCTGCCCCATTGCTTCCAAACACCACATGCTCGCTACTCTGGCGAACTCTGCTGGGGCAATGGCATGCGTGCCCATAGAGAGAGCTCTGAGTGCCACCTCTGGCACACGTGCCATAGGTTCGCCACCACTGTGCTATATTATTATTTCTTGATTCCTTTAACTAGCATAATGTCCTCCAAATACTCACCCTCGCTATCAAGGATGTAGTCACGTGGAAACATGATTCCACAACCCATAATATCTCCTTTATAGCAACGGGGGCCAAAGGGATCCCCCACTCCACTTCCATGGAAGATTTTGCCATCATCTGTAAAGAAGAGAAAAGGGACACCCATCAGCATGTGAAGTCTCTGAATTTCAGTTGGCCTTCAAATAAACCGGCAAAATAAAAGAAGCTGCTAGAAATGTCAGGGAGTTCCAAGCCCAGTTGTAGAAATATCAGGCTAAGCTACAGTTAACCAAGCACCATCTCAGTCATCATGCAAGGATAGAAAGGATTACTGAGAATTCGGCACAGGACAAATTCTGTGCTGTTTGGTGAAATTAGGGGTTTTAGGAATTGCCCGATCCCTTTTACTCGACTGGCCCAGGAACAGCTCTATTTTTCTAGGTCTGGTGATTCCAAAGCCATAAAGAAACAGGACAGTACAAACACCAAAATGCACCATTTAAGAGATGTAAATAAAAAAAAAAATTCTCCAACTAAGCAATTGGGGGCTTATTGGGAGAGGCGCAACAGAGCATTGTTCTACCTCTTTTTTCATCTGACAGGAAATCCTTGGAGCTAGGCTCAAAGCCATTGAAATTAAACTTGAATTTAAAGGCAAGCCACTAGCAGTAGGGAATGTTGTGTAGGTGAATGCTTGGGACATCTGTACTGACAAGTAGACAGACTTCCTCATCCAACCTGGAAATTAAGAAGGCTGCTAGTGAAGAGATGCCTTTCCTTCTTCAACAAATTGAAAGGAAACGGCCCGAAGATAGCTGTAGGGAGGAAGATCCCTTGCCAACCCCCCCCCCCATACAATTAATGATTTTTGCAAGCAAAGAACTGTTTTATGGGTTTATTTGCAAATATGATCACTCCTGGATTACTAGGTCTTCAGTCTGTCATTCTTGACTATGCTCACACCACAGAAAGTTCCTAAAATAAACAGAATTTCTCAATTCAGTTACCACCGTTGTACATTCATTTCCCCAATTCACTACCCTCCAGAGGTCTAGGAGTACACTTCTCAGACTGCATAGTCAGATAGCTGAAGGGTGAACGCCACGTATCTGAAGGACAGTAAGTTAGGGGGAAGTACCTAATACCCCAGAGGAAAGCCGTCAAAAATAGAAGACAATTGGTACTGGAACGCCACAATAAACTCTGAATCTTGCTTTATGAACAGCTCTGATTTCAAGCAGGCCTCCTTTGGCAAGATGCCTACCCAGCATTGAAAGTTGACAAAGTTTCCCGCAGTGCCTATTTACAGTATGGTCCCTCCAGGGCTAAACAAATTGGTCCAGCCAATCAGGCACTCCGCTGGGCCAACCAGAGGGAGGAAAAAAAAAAAAACATACGCTTTGTGCCACCCATGATCAAAGCCAGACAACACTGAAACCCAAGAGGCAAAGGAGAACAAAAGGAGAAAGGAAGGGAGAGGTGGAGCAGAGACCACTTGAAAGGCCTTGGTGCTTTTATTCTCCCCGACTTCAGCTATGCAGCGGATGCGGGTGCCCAGAACATACGGCATGGGGCCAAGACCCTTTGTCTTCATGAAAGAGGGAGGTTTGCTTGGCAAACGGGCAGTAAATATTTCCCCCTGCTGCCAAGGAAACTTTGAGAATAACCTTGTGCAAACATTCCAGAACGTGTCTCAAATAATGAAGGCTGGCCAGCCTTTTAGGGAATCCCCCTCGGCTCAGTAAACGTAAGAAGGAAGATCAAGAGGACAGCAGCCGATGAGAGAAAAACAGACCTGTGGTTGGGAAAGGGCAAAAGGGACCAGCTCTGGCAGGTTACAGTCAACGGAAGGCTAATGCACTTCCTTTCTCTGTAGCTGTGCCTTCCCTTTCTTTCAAGCGGAGTTGTGCCAAAGTGGCCTGTTGGAAGTGATCCTGCTTAGAATGTCCCATTTTCTCAGAGGGGCTGACCCACAAGTGCTTGAGTGTGATTTTATACCTCTCTGGAAGTGGGTTACTTAGAAGCAAAGTGATTCTTGGTGTCCTGGCTCCAAAAGGTGGGGGAGAACAAGCATCCTGAAGCCAAATGGTTCCAACCTAAACAGTGTCGGACATTCCTAAATCGTCCATAAATCCTCCCTGGGCAAAGCCATTCAAGCGTCTTACTCTAAAAGGGAGATTAAAAGTTGGCCCGTGCTTTGGAAAGTAAGCGAGCTTAATGGAAAGGCTAAAATGATTTTCCTTGGCTATAATTAAATCAGGGGCAGTTATTCTCAATGTATTTAATTTCCCCCCCCCTCTGTCACGTTAAAAATTATAATTTGGGGGCAACTTTTGCAAGATTTTCAGAAGCTGGAGGTTGACCCTGTGGCCTCATGGTGCTCCCGTTCCAGAATTAAGAAAAACAGTTCACTCAGGAATGTACTTCTACATAGATCTAAGTGAACTATTTTTACCCTATTAGAAGAGGACACAGGTTAGTCACAAACTGCTGTTTTCTGGGGCTGGCTTCAATTCTTTTGCTCTCATTATGAAGTTCTTAAGAAGGAGGAGAGCCTTTGCATCTTGGGAGAAAGGAATCTTTCATTGTCACTGCGTGAGGCAACTAAGATGGCTGCCTAGAATGAGTTAGTGGCTCTCAAATATTCATCTTTTTTCATTATTTCTAGAAGAAGAGCTGGAGGGCAGAAAGCCCGTCTGTTTTAAATGTCCCCCAGGATACAGCTACCTCATCGATTGTCTGTATGAGGTGTCCTTTGCATCCAAAAGTTGAAAAACTATTCAACCCAAGATTATACCAGTAGCCCTCGATTTAAGACCATGACTGAGTCCAAAAGTTCCATTGCTAAGCAAGGCAGATGTTAAGTGAGTTTTGCCCCATTTTACAGCCCGTTTTGTCACAGCTGATAAGCGAACCACTGCAGTCGCTAAGGGAATCATGCAGTCATTAAGGCAGTGGTTCTCAAATAGTGGGGCGGGCCCCCCAGGGGGGGCGCGAGGCTCCGTAAAGGGGGGCTCGTTTGACCTCGGCAAATACTGTCATATTGGACGCACGTGACACACGCAAAGGACCCGATTGGATAGACAGTCACGCGGGGGGGGCGCGAAATGTTTTCTTCTTCCTAGGGGGGGCATGACAGAAAATAATTGAGAACCACTGCATTAAGGGAATCTGGCTTCCTCCATTGACTTTGCTTGTCACAAGCTGGCTGGGAAGGTTACAAATGATGATCACATGACCCATTGTCATAAATACATGCCTGTTGCTAGGCAGCCAAATTTTGATCACATGACCGTTAGGATGCTGCAATGGCCCTAAGCGTGAAAAAAAATGTCAGCTTTTTTCAGTGCTGCTGTAACTTCAAATGAATGGTTGTTGAGGATTACCTGTACAGAAAACATCAGCAGCCCACCCTCAACAGAATGCAACAGCTAGAAAATCGGAGATATCTTCTAACTTTTATGGGGCAAAAACCAAACACCCAGAACCAGAACCAGATGAGGCAACTGACTATAAGCCGGTATCTAAAGGACAGACTTTTAGTAACAGATCCCAACATGTAAGACAAGATTTGCTAGGTATATGGACAGCTGGCCAAATCACTCCATGCTAATCTGTTTTGGCTTCTTTCTAACAGTGACTTTTGGCATTATTGGTAAGGAGAACTACATATAGGAATCGTTGGATCTTGTTCTTATAAGCATCCCAAATATGCTGAATTATGAGGTTTTGAATTTCACTGATAGTTTCTGATCTTTAAGCCTGAAAATATAACCACAGGATCTGTTGAGATCCCAGCAGCCAAGAAGGAAAGAATGAATCATTGATAAGCAGCTGAAGATTTAACTTCCCCCACAATTATTCTATTCTTTCTCAAATTATCTAATCTATTCTTTTTGGGGTAAGCTAAATTGTTTGCCAGATAATTATTTTCTCTCCCAAGTAGTCAGAAGCGTAGTGCAGACAAATTGCTTAACCACAATTTGTTGGCTTCATCCTAGCTGAGAGCCCACACAAATTATGAAACTATATTTACCTTCTCAGATCTCCCCCAGGTATATCAGATTTCATCAGTTCTCAATTGGTTAAGCATGGGTGAACATATAGAAATAATTTTTTGTGACATTACTAGTGAGAATCGCTATTTTTAACCATGGTTTGCTAATGCAGACTTAATTGTTGTTTCTGTAAATGAGGCAGACTCCATTTCACTACCTAATTATAGGACTCTGGTTTTAGTGAGGAATCATTTTTGCTTATCATTATGCTGATGGTTGCCCAGCAGCTAAGTGCAAAACTAAGCATGAGTATCTCTATTATATAATGTAAAAATGCCAAACTAAAAAATGAAACATTTGTGCCAGCATGACAAATTATGATATTGGAGCCTTGGAAATCACTAGCTGTGCTGAAGCCAGATCATGTATGAATCTAAAACAAAATAGAAATAGGGAAAGAAGGATCAAAAGGATCAAATACAAGTAAGCAGCGGGTAATCACAAGGCTCCATCTTAAGCCCAGTACTTTTCAATATCTTCATTAATGACTTAGATGAGGGAATTGAAGGGGAACTCATCAAATTTGCAGATGACACCAAACTGGCATGAGTAGCCAACACGCAGAAGACAAGCTCAGGATCCAAAAAGATCTTGACAGACTTGAACAATGGGCCCTGTCCAACAAAATGAGTTTCAATGTGGAGAAAAGCAAAGTTTTATATTTAGGCAGGAAAAATCAAAAATGTAAGTACAGATTAGGTGAGACCTGGCTCAGAAACTGTAACTATGAGAGGGACCTTGGAGTCCTAGTGGCCGATCACTTGACTATGAGTCAGCAGTATGCAGCAGCAGCCAAAAAAGCTAATACAATCCCAGATTGCTTAAACAGAACGATAGAATCAAGATCACGCAAAGTATTAGTACCGCTTTATAAAACCCTAGTGAGACCACACCTGGAATACTGCAACCAATTTTGGTCACCATCCTACAAAAAAAGATGTTGAGACCTTGGAAAAAGTTCAGAGAAGAGCAACTAAAATGATCAAAGGCCTGGAGACTAAAACATACGAAGAATGGCTACAGGACTTGGGTTTGGCTAGTCTAAAGAAAAGAAGAACTAGGGGAGACATGATAGCACTATTCCAGTATTTGAGGGGCTGCCACAAAGAAGAGGGCGTCAAACTATTCTCCAAAGCACCAGAGGGGCTGGAAACTGACCAAAGAGGGAAGCAACTTGGAATTAAGGAGAAACTTCCTAATGGTGAGGACAATTAACCAGTGGAATAGCTTGCCTTCAGAAAATGTGAGCGCTCCATCACTGGAGGTTTTTAAAAACATACTGGACAGTCACTTGTCTAAGATGGTAAAGGTTTTCCTGTTTGAGCGGGAGGCTGGACTAGAAGACCTCCAAGGTCCCTTCCAGCTCTATTCTATTCTAAATGTTAAACTCTTTTCAGGAATTCCCCAGAAGACAACGAAGAGAACCCTAAGAAGAAGCTGAGGAATGATAGATAGGTAACTAGAAATAGCTTCTTCGCTATTACCAGGATTGATACTACAGAGAACTAAGACATAGCTTCAGTTCACAAGAGGCAGTATCTATGGTTGGCAGTATCTATGGTTCTATTTTAATAAAAGGAGTCAGGCTTGAACTGTTGGGCTCTTGGTGTTCTCTAAATATGGATTCTTACATAGCTAGAATACCAATCAATCATGAGATGGAGATAACCAGCAGAAACCTCAAAGTCTCTAGAATAAAAAAAAACACCTTAAATCAGCCTATGAGAAATGCTAGCTAATAACTTCCATGAATGGATAGGTAAGAAGATAATGAAATGGCCAGCAATTCTTCTCTCTTAGAAGAACTATCAAGAAATTATAGCGGAAAATATTATTTTAGAGAAGATATCATTCCTTTCCCGTGTCCAGTAAGGAGGCTTTTTTATATGATGCTTATTTTGTCTTCATTTTGAACAAATGACATCCAACAAATTCAACATTTGCTGTTCTAGTCTGGCATCTATTCATACTAGTCAGAGGTGCTTAAATGATTAACTGCCCTAGCAAATTAACTAATTATGCTGTATCTTATTCAAACAATCAAGACCAATAGAAGCTCAGAGTAATACTCAGAAGTTGCTGCAAAGTGACAAGGCTTCATTTTGCTATCCACTCTGTAGAAAAATCACTCCAGATTTGGAATCAAAATCTTTTAATGTTATCCACTGAAAACAGAGAAAAAACAATTCCAACATATAAAAAAAAAATTCAGCATACTCCCATTTTCATCTTTCAGATGTCAGAGAGCAGCTGAGGATAGATTATCAAACCTCTGACCTTTGCTCAATCCCCTATCCGTTCCCACTGCCAAACCTAACAGTTTCATCCAAGTGTTGATAATGTATTTTCTTTTTTTTTTCCTCAGAGGGATAAATTACTTTTTATATAATAAACTCACACATATTAGATTTTAATTCCAACAGGCTAGCTTTAAAAATAAACGTTCAACAACTCTAAGAAGCTCCAATGTTCAAAAGTCCTGTGGTACACAGAAAATAGCATTAAACTTTCACATCCTGGATCTATCTGGGAACTGATCCCAGGACCATCTCCCCCCCCCCTTAGCTCATCTGCAATGCAAAATATAATGTTCACATATTATTTGAGAGGTTACAAGAGTGTTAAAAGCTATAGACCATAACTGAAGGAATTCTCATCTGACTAGGCTATTTTCATCTTCATACGCCTTCCACACAGGAGGCTCTCTGTTTCAGAAAATATATTGAAAGGTGATATGACATTTTAAATTGCTGCAACTGTACTGTTTTTGCTGTTTAACTTCTGCAAGTTGCTAGACAGTGGACATCTCCATGGTAGCCTTTTAGAGAAAGCAAATACAGCGAAATCAAGGCAACGTGGAATTCGGCCAAAGCTGGGTCTTGGATACTCACCTGCGTGGTAGGCTACAGATCCTCTGCTCCAGCCAGGATGCCGGTTTTTGGGGTAATCCTAGGGCAAAGAAGAAATACAGCCAGTTGCACATCATCACATTTCTTTTGGCAAAAAATGCCCCCGAGAAAATAAGTTTCCATTACGGGCATGATTGATCAAACAAGCATGTACCTCTTTAGTGAAAGCTCTTACTTCCACTGTGGACCTTTTATATACATATATAAACCAGGGGTGTCAAACTGACAGCCCACTGGCTGGATGCATCATGGCAAAACCGCACCCACCCCATTGCCAGCAATGGGAAAAAAGTCACGGTACGTCGCGACGCGTCACGTGACATTGCGAGTTTGACACCCCTGGTTTAAACCATAAGCAGTGGCAGAAGAAAAGGGAGGGGAGCCTTCCTAGGAACTGCTAAAACTCTCACATGGGAGATCAACCGATATTTTCTGAATTTTCCCAGAGCTTAGCAACTACAAGACACCGCTGCTCGAGTTAGGCTAGCTAAAAGAGCAACAGAAGAATATGGCAGGATTAAGAAAAACTAACTATGGGGAAAAAATTAATATAGACTTTATTTCTAGGTGCCACACCTCCTCCCTTTAATTTAAACATTATTTGTGACTATATTGTTCATCTACCTCATGTCTGGAATCTTGGTTGATACAAAAAAGGAGTTTTTACAGTCAAAGGTTAAGCCTTCCACGGCTCAGGCCACACACCCTTGAGTCAATGGTGAACCCAGAGATGGAAGTCCTTGCTCAGCTGAGGATGCACTTTATACTAGTTTGTCTGTTTGGTAGTTTTAGGGCTAGTTTTAGAGATCTCTGAAAGCTGAATCATGGAAACTGGACTTATTTTCTTGCTGGTTTGAGACATTTCACCACTCAACCAAGCAGCTTCTTTGGTCCGAGCACGTTGGTTAGAGAAATTTGAGTAAGCAGAGAGTCGTTGGAATGTACCAACTAGCATAGATGATGCCTCTGACTATTACTCTTTTTTTTTGCTGCCCTATTAATATTCCTATATCAAACCTCAGGGTTTCTTCCCAGAGTGTGTAGCAATATTATCACCTATTCAGATTTTCCTAGCCAACTTGCAAAATACCAAAGCATATAGGTAGAAGCCATATTAGACCATCACGAGCTGCTAACTATTGTTGACTGGATCTGGGGAAGACTTGCAGTCAAGCACAGCAAGAAAGCATCTGGGGAAAGCAAAGTCTGTTGCTTTGTACCCACAGAAGTCAACATGCAAGCACTCTAAAGAAAGTCACAAATGGCTATTTATATATTGGTGCCATTACAATTAGCACAGAAGTGTTATCAAACAAGGCCCTGACTTTTCCTTTTCCCAGAAGAGATTGTGTGCATTAGTCTGGCTTGCAGCTATCACACAACTACACTAGTATTATTACTATGCTCACCTCCTGTAGTCTCCAAGGCAAAATGCAGGAGGTTAATTTTAAAACCAGGATGGCTTAAACAGCCCATCTCCACAGAAATCAATTACACTGCATCCACACTGGATGAGCCTCATGCCCTATTTCTCCACATCTTAGCTCTCTTAAAGCAAGGGTAGAGAATCTAGTCCTCTGAACATTTCCTGACTGCAATTCTTATCAATATTAACGGCCATGCGGGCTGGAACTGATGGGAATTTGAGCACAACAACCTTCATCCATTCTGTCTCACGATGTGGAGTGGCAGCAGTTGGAAGCAGACAAATATGTAAATGGTTACACAGATTTTATTTTTTTTATGGGATTTAGATTTTTCATTTTGTGTCGGGACACACTAACACGCCATGAAAATGAGTCCAGATGTTTTCATATTTCATTCACAGAAGAAGAGGGGATCTGGTGTTCTTGTATGATTTACTTGTCTGGTCTGACAAATTCTACTTAATTTCTGAATTTCCAGCACCATTCGGCATCAATCATGATACAGACATGCTGATTAAGTTCACGGATGCAACCCAATTTTAGTTTGTCCTCACTATCAGAATTTTATCTAGATCACTTATCTAGATCACATTCATGTAGTTACCTTGGCCACCAAAGAGAAGTGGTTGGCAACTGTCTTCTTTGAGAATGTTCAAATCCCCCAATCTAATCTAAAATGCTGGGATTTCCTAACAATCTGCTATTCAAGAACAGTACTAACCAAATTCAATTCTCTGACTATGATATTAAGCTTGACTTGAAGGTTTTCTTCATTACTATCTAAGTCAAAAGTTTTTGCATATTCTTTTTCTGCTTTCTTTTCCTCGTGATGGCTAAGGCTCACTATGGCTGTTCCTGGTTTCCTTATAAACTGAAGCAGGATTCCCAAAAGCAGCTCCTGGTTATATCCAGGCTCCCTTGCCTATCCCTCATCCTGCCCTTACGTATGCACAGAGAGACACCAGATGTAGAAATGCCAGATCATTTCAGGGCAAGTTATTCTCCGGTGAATCAAGAACTCAAGGGAGAGTGAAAGGATGTTGATCCAGTTCTTTCTTTTTTGGATCTCCCATGACTGCTGAGATTTGCTTGTTGTAGCAAGAGGAGGAGAGAACGAACTGGCTCCGTATCAGAGGCCACATGAATCCAGGCCATGCATAGAGGCAAACAACAGAACCAGATGGCTGCATCGGACAAGAAAGGAAGAGGGACAGGCGCCAATCCAGCCCCAATATGCAGTGCAGCCTGGTTCTAATTTATTTATTGGCATTTGCCAGTAACGAGAGAGCCTAACTTAGCCAATCCAAAGCAGAGGATGTTGTGCAGGACAAAGAGGCATCAATGAGCTGATCGATGATGGTGCAGACATTTGCTAAGGGTTATCCTGATCTCTCTAGATGTCGTATTTTTGCTCTGATGAAAGTCTGAAGGAAGTGGAAGAGCAGCAGCTAACTCAAGGCCTCATGTTTTGCAGGCAGAACTTTGTAGGTTGACATAAGCAAAAGTCAAGAGGAAAGAAACTGACTTCCTGGAGACATAGCTGCAATGTTGAACACTCTCCATGGCTCAGTTTAAAACTACAATAATGCCTAAACAAGACAGATGGCACATTTGGAATGTCTTCCCTTGTTGAATTGCATTTCATTAATCAAGACTCCAAGTTGAACTTGAGTTTTGAAACAATCTCTCCTTCCACCTGCTTATCCCCATCTCTGAGCTGAAAGGGGCCAGTTAGACCCGTGAGTTCAACCCTTGTTCGAAGAAGAGATCCAAATGAAAGCATCGAGAGATGAACATCCAGCCTCGGCTTGAACGTATCCAGGGAAGGAGAGCCCACCACCTCTCTAAGGAACTCACTGGGGTTTAAGGGGAAATTAAAGGAAATTTGAGGTGCCATGCCTGAAGAAACAAAGGGAGGGGATTTTAGCCTTCTGCTGTCATTTTGCAGGACACATTGGCAAGAGTTAAAAGAGAGTTGTGGAAAAAACGGACCAATGAAACAGAAGTTCACACAAAAGGCAGGGGGAAATGGCTATGGCATAGCTTCATTACAAAAGCTTCACCATCAACCCACAGTTACTAAAATTGGCAAAGTGCATGAAGAAAGGGTGAGGAGACTGCAGCAGACCTCAGAGATAGAGTGCTAGCTTAGAGAGGGAGCAGATTTCGTATTGGTGAACCCTGATTTCATATTATGACCAAGAATGAGTGGAGAAGAGCAATCTTGCTGCAGCAGTTCTATGCAATGACCAGTCTTAAAAAGACTTGTCCCAACTGCCCTCCAATGAGAGAAAACATTACTTTCTCCATGACCCATCACTGCTTTGTTTTAGGTCCATCCTACTCCTTATGAACACTACAAGGAGACTCTGTGATATGGTTTCTATCTGGCAACTGGACCACACAGTGACTCATCATTTCACATGGAGACTTTTAAACATCTGCTGCCTGACTTGACCTAACACTGAAGCCTCAAACGGATCAAATTAAACCCCAGATTCTGAGATACTGCCAGCCATCTTCAGTTTTGCAAAGATATTTAAAAGAGCAAGGAATGCAAGCTATACTGAGAAACAAACTTAGGCCTTCTGTTAGTCCTTGCTTAGTTCTTCCCTACAGCAACTTTTGTGGGCAGCTGCAAACAATTTTGTCAACGACTGTGGGATTTTGTAAACTGGGTGGTGCTTCCCCAGAAGATGGCGAGGGAACCACATGGGAAAAATCCCAATGAATAATTTTGGCTTAAGGCTGTGTCGATGAGCCCTGAGGGAGTGTATTGCAAGGCAAAGAGGTCTTGAGCAGCTCCATGTTAAAGGGGACTTTTTACCTTCTCTCAATATACAACACAGAGCAGGCATATCCCTTCACACAGACACTAAGTTGTTTCCCCCAATTTGATGCCACGTTGAGACTGCACACCTGGGAACATCAAGTTAATGAGGGAACCTCTAAAGGCAGAACAGTCTCCATTTACTCTCCAGCTTTTTTACCTTGCGGGCAAGGCCCAGAGCGATATAGCACTTCTCTCCTGGATCCACAATCTCCACCTCAAAGTAGTGACTCCTGGTACTCAAAGGCTGCCGAGCTTGTGCAAGACCCACGTCAATGATGCTCTTCCCTTTCCCTATATATTCCAAGAGCTGCAAAGAGAAGACAAGACAATAGCTGATCGCCCATCTGGCCTGACACTCCATCTTCTGAAGTCACCACAGGCAGCCATAATCCTATCAACATCCTCTGTGTTAATTATAGAGAATTCTGAAAGCCTGACAAGCAAAAGAGCAAACAGGGACTCCCCAAGGTAATTGAGAGAGCCATAGGGTAAGCATTCATTAGACTTGGTCGCTGCATGGTAATTAAACAGTCTGTATGCCTTACAAGGTGGAACAGCAATCAAATCAAGAGTAACATGTGAAATCACAAACTAGAAAAATCCTATCTTGGCAAATATCACATAACCACTTCCATGGATACATAAGGTTGCTTTTCAACAAGATGGGAAATATCCCCCCAAAACAACAACTATTATTTTTTTTATTAAAATTTTTATAAACATTTTACAATAAAAGCCCTCCCCACCTCTCTCCCTCCCCCCCTTCCCAGAGCTGAGTACAGAGCTAAAAACAACAAAAAAAGAACATAAAAAATTAAATAAAAATCAATCAATTATACATAAATCCTAAAAAAAATTTTAAAACCCCTTTAACTCCATTACAATAAAATCAACAAATCTAACCATAACAACTTTATACAATAAATTATTCAAAAGCTAAATAATACTTTCTAATCCCATATTTGTTCTGAACAAAATTTACCCATCTTTTCCATACAGAGTTGTATCTCTCTGGTGAATGGTCTTTCAGATAAGCCACAACAACTATTATTATTATTTGCTTTTCCCATCTTACAGTATTTTTGTATTTTGAATATGCTACAGACAACTGAAGTGGGAGTCCAAGATATGCATCCCCAAACTACTCTATCTTATTTGATAGAAACTTTCAAGCTAAAGTTTGCAATAATTTGGAAGATCAGCCAATTTTGATCTCACTGTAAAACCTGAAATGGTTACAAACATAAAACAATACAACTAAAAGAAGTGGATTTTCCAAAGATGGATATTGATTATAGGTGTTTTTCAAATAAACCATTAAACTATGTAATATATTAGCAGACTACGCTGCTGTTCCATGTATTATTAATTCTTGCTCCAATTTAATAATTTGCTGAGGCTATCTCTAGAATATATGCTGCCATCATTTTGATTTTATAATGCAACATCTTTACTTATACCGTGTTTCCCCAAAAATAAGACCCAACCGGAAAAATAAGCCCTTACATGATTTTTCAGGACGCTCGTAAAATAGGCCCCACCCCAAAAAGAAGCCCCAGTTAAGATTGTCAGCTAGATGGACATATTTCCCCAAAAAGAAGACCTAACCAGAAAATAAACCCTAATGCATCTTTTAGAGCAAAAATTAATATTAAGACCTAGTCTTATTTTTGAGGAAAACACAGGCAAATCCATTCTGGTTTAAAAATTGTTTGCTTTATTTCTGAATGACCATTCATTTAGCAATTTTTCGAAGTTACGACAATGCTGAAAAAAGGGACTTATGACCAATCCTCACATTACTAACTAGTGCAGCATCCCCATTCACATGATCAAAGTTAGGGCACTTGGCAACCAGCATGCATTTACAATGGTTGCAGTGCCTGGGGAGGGGGGAAGTCACATGATCGCCATTTGCAATCTCCCCAGCTGGCTTCCATCAAGCAAAGTCAATGGGGGAAACACCTGCAACTAAAAAGGTCAGAAAATCAGAGGCAATTCACTTAATAAGCGACTCGCTTAGCAATGGAAGTTCCAGTCCCACTGTGGTTGCACATCAAGGTCTCCCTGTACTTTTTGTACCCTGCTTTATTCCTCTTCCCTCTTGAGGAAGCCTTGTCTAGATGGATGTTATAGATTTCATCAACCTCAGAGCAATTTCCCGCATACAAGTTTTAAAGAAATATTACTTGTGCCCATCCCGATAGGCAGCCTATAAGTGACAAGACTGAACTTTTGGCCTTCAGCAATAACCACATCCATGCTTTCAACAACATTCAGCGTGCAAGAATAGTCTTCTTCACTGATGGCACTTCAATGAAGTCTGCAAAAGGTCAGGATTCAGGTGTGTACAATTATAGACACACATAGATTCCACATAAGCACAGACTTGGGGTATTTCCGGGATCTCGTCTGCACAGAAGCCAACTTGCACATAATATATGCGGAGGGACAGGCAGTCACTGTATGTGTGCCTCTAGAATGGAACGTGCTACACCTCTGCTCCTTTTGAACTGGTTGCCAGTTTGCTCCTGGGTCCAATTCAAGGTTTTGAAGTTTAAAGTCCCCTTCGTGGCATGAGGCCAGATTATCGGAAGGACCACCTGTCCCTGATTCCCATCAAATCCAGCAGAAGAGGTATGCTGTAGGTCCTGTCTGCACTGGAGCCACAACTGGCAAAAGCCATGGTGCTCAGCTTATGGAACTTCATCCCCCCCTGAAGTGAGTAGGTTCCATCCTTGTTAATTTTCAGAAGTCCCTCAAAACTTAATTTGGCCATGAGGCCTGATAGCCCCAGGATACCAGTGTTGAGATGGCTCTGTTGTGGTTAACATCTGCTGTCCTCTCCTTGCATTTTAATCATATATTTTTTCTAGATATGTTAACTTTTATACTACTGTTTTAAAGTTTATATATGCTAGTTATGCAGTTTATATTGTTATACAGTTATTCTGTATACATTTACTCTGCTTTACATAGTAACATTTTATTTATTTTATTTATTTATTTATGAGACTTATATACCGCTTTAAGTGCAAGCACCCTCTAAGCGGTGTACACCAGTAAGCAATGTATATATATATTTACATTGCCCCCAACAATCTGGGTCCTCATTTTACCTACCCCAGAAAGATGGAAGGCTGAGTCAACCTTGAGCCGGTGAGATTTGAACCGCTGACCTGCTGAACACAGTCAGCTAAAGTGGCCTGCAGTACTGCACTCTAACTGCTGCGCCACCTCGGCTCTTATTTTGTGAGATAGATGGTTATATAAGTGATCTATCTATCTATCTATCTATCTATCTATCTATCTATCTATCTATCTATCTATCTATCTATCTAATCTACAGTAGTGGCCACAATTGTGAAAACTTTTTGCGAAAAGTGTATTTTTGAGGTTTGATGGCTAATAACACCACTTTTTTTTTGGAGTAGTACCATAAAATTATATATCAATGGAAAGATAATTTAATCAAGAATGCAAAGCAACATAGTTTGTTCAATTATCTGTATTGTATTCTATGAAATGATATAGCCAAATAACCAGAAAAAGGAAGCACAACTGGCTTAGGTTGATATCAGGTAGCTTTCCTTCATCTGATGGTAGCCAATGAGCATGAGTGTTTAGAGAGCCAATCAGGTATCATCTTGTTTTGGCAATGAGCCAATCAGATCACAGTAGGATTCAGTTATTGATGTCATGTATTGAAGCTGAGAGGAGGACATTTGTCAGTGTGTTATGTGATCGCTATCAAGTTGGTTGGGGTTTTTTTGTGTTCTTTCATTTGGTGAGCTTGTAAAACATAATAAAATTAAAGTAATGGTGCAAAGAGTTGACTGGTTGCCCAGAAAGCAATGTAAAATAGTATTATTAAGTGAACAAGGCTAAGAAAAATTGGTGGAAACTTAATCGAAGGTGGCATTTCTACTGTACACTTTTCCCAAAAGGCTTCCACAATTTTGGCCACTACTGTACCTATCTATCTTTCTATCGGCTCTCCTTTCAAATGTTGTACCTGATAGATAATGTCAATTAAATAATGTTTATAAAGGTGGAGTTCATTAGCAGTGTTCGTGTAAGAAATTGTCTCGTCACCAAACAGCTCGAAAGAGTTAAAAAGCCTCTAGTCCTGCTCAGATCCTGTTCCATGTGATTCACATCCAGTGGCAGTGAAGCAAAAATCCTATTTTGGTTTTTGCATTGCAAAATATCTTACATAGTTTTATACCAAGGATGCAAATAATTCTATGTAAACTAAGGAAGTTGAATAAATGTTCACAAACTTTTTGGTTTTGCATCATTTACTATGCTAACAATATAAGGAGCCAGCAGCTTTTTATGCATAAAAGCCCGTATCTTTAACAACTAGATCTTTTCCTCAGAGGGTTCTGATATGACAGACCCTAACCTAAATGTTATGCTATTTGAAACCAAACAGAAATGTTGACATCTCCATCCCCATAGTTTTAAGAACATTGTACCCCGGGACAGCCAAGTTATATTGACACCGGAGGCAAACCATCCCACAAGTATCTTTTTTCTGTGATGCTGGCAATCCAACGCAAGAACACATTAAATTCTAATTTGCTAGCCTTTCATGACATCCAACACCAGTTTTGCCTAAGAACAGGGCTGCCAGTAATACATTCTAGAGATTTCTTGCATACTTTCCAGTCTATCCTTCGAGCCACACGGGTTAGAAATCTTGCGTTTTTTAAAAGAAAAGCAAACGGATTGTGGGAAACATCGCCAGGAGGGCCAGCATCACACCCGTTTCCTGGGAGAAACTGAAACTAACCACTGCATGTACCCTTCAGGTTACCACACTCAGTCCCTAAATTAGGCCAGCAGAGCATTGATGATGAAGAGCTATCCAAAGTATGCAGAAGCTGACCCTCCGGTGCTCCTTTTTTTTTTTTTTTGCCTGTGTGCACGGAACACCTCTCAAGAAACCCAGCCATATGCTGAACCAAACTTTCCTGGCTTCTGCAGCTGGGTGGAAAAAACGCAAACCGCTGACCCTTTCCATTGGCTCTCCAGGCTGCTGCAGAATTCCAAGAACTGCTCATCCATCTAAACAGAAAGCAAACATTTCAAACAGCTGGATCGGGGGAAACGGTTTGACACAAGGGGTGAGCCACCTTGACAAGGATCTTCTCTCCTTGGAGGAAGAACCGTTGCAATGTTAAGGCTCTTTTGCCCACGTTTCAAATCAAATGCTTTTTCATCCCAGTTAATAAGGTTTGTGGAAAGGCTTCCCGTTACTTTTGCAAATTAAAATAATTTTACAGTAAGAACAAACCCAAG